AAGTATCCCTTCTTGCTAATGTTTTTGTTTCAAGTTCATTGCCTCAGTGACAGAAGATTTGAATCTATTCTTGAAAAGGAGATATTTGCAGCAGAAAATATGGAGTGAGGAGTTGATAGAATTGCTTTTCAAAGCACTGACAGATATGATAGACTGAATGGCTCCTTGTGTGTTGTAAAAACGAACTATTTTGTAATCAGCCTGTTCAGAGATGCTATTACGCACCTCTAGAACAGGTGAGATTTGAACCTGGGTCTCCTGGTTCAAAGACAGGGGTACTACCACTGCACAATAAGAGCCCTGTGTGTCAGGTACTTATGGTGTCACAGTGGAACTCCAGAAGAGATTAGATTTCTGCTTTGAAGAAGGCACACTTCTATTCAGTGCCCAGACATAGCAGCAGACCAGAACTCTGAATCTTTACAATGCAAGTCTCATGTCAAGAAGGAAATAGCAGATTACAATGGCTTACCTTCAAGTTGAATCAGATGAGAAGCAAAGCAGAGTCACAACAGTTGCATGTGATGTCATCCAGCACAGCAGGGTCCTGTTGTTAGTCATCTGGAAGATTGAGGGAGTTCCAGTTAAAAAGGGCACTAACTTGATCCTCAATGTGCGGTATTAGCCTCAAGTGCTGCTCTGCCTCAGACACTTCAGTATTTCCCTTGGTTTATATTAAACATTGGGGATTTTAATCAGAATTTCATTTGTGCTTTTTTTTTCCTTGTAGAAAAGGTTAAAGCTGGCTACAGCCTTGCCTGCAATTGTGGAAAATTGGGGGTTATCCCAAAACATAAGCTTTTTCTTGTAACCATCTTCCACATTCTGCATTGAGTAGTTTGAATCAAACTGTGGGAGAGATTGATAGCGGGGCTGTGCTCTGAAATAGTATTAAGGATCTGAGACCAGAGGGTTGTCCCAAATGACACAGTTTTAGAAATTGACTATCCTGCAGGAACCACAATGCATGTTGACAAGTTAGGAAGTTGCAAAATTGCTTTTCAAAATGTAAGTATTAATGGTAAGAAAGCTATGCAGTCTTTGCATTCACTTCCCAGATTTCAGTTAGGTGACTTGGAAAAAGGCATTTTGTTGAAGGTTTTTCTCTTTAGAATTCTTGCATGTTGTTCTGATAAGTGCAAGGGGGAAAACATGTATACTGTATGAGAGAAAAGTGCTGATTGGTTGGCAAGTGCACCCTGGCAGAGGTACTGCCATGGATCAAATATCAGATAATGAGTCATTTTCTTTACTTCCCACACCCTTTGAACAGTATAATTGTTGTTTTCACTTAGTTCTGACTTGGGAATTGTCTTGATAAATGCAAGATTAAAAGCTTTAACAAAATGTCTTTTTCTAAGCAGTACTCATATTATGTATTAACAAACAACTATTTATAGTGGGATCTTTTTGAAATTCTGTGGGTTAAATTGAGATGGAAGATATTTTTAATTAGCCTGTTAAGATATGTCTCACATCTTTGTTCAAGAGTAGTTGTAATACTGGTATCTGCCAAACTGCAAAGGTCTGTCTGGTTAATGTTACATTACCACGACATCCATGTCTCCCTACTGCCTGGAGCCATGACCAGTAGTTCATTTTGTTGGACATTTCATTCTTCCTATCTTCAGCCACCACATCCACAAGTTGTTGATTATATTAAACCTTTCAATCTACCAACAATTGCTGTAATTTGATTTATTTTACAGATTAACTGGGCAATCTGGATATCTTACTGATGGACCTGGAAACTATAAATACAAAACAAAGTGTACTTGGCTTATTGAAGGACAGTGAGTATTTGAATCTTCCTTTTGCAAAGCACAACCCAATTTTTAAAAAAATAAAAGCCTTTTCCTTAATTTTCCCTTTGTATGTTGTCAGGGGGTCAGAGAAATCTTGTTATCACAACTGCTGAAGAAGCATCAGAGCAGCTCTCATAGCTGATTACTCACCGGTAGATCTGTAGATCAATGTAGTAATCAACTGGTTTGTAATGATCAGTCATTGCAGTTTGATTCAGACCTATACCAGGAAGTAGTGAGTCATTAGCAGCTGTAGGTTTGTTTTTCATTGCACGTTAAGATGAGGGTAAACTACCTGAGTGTGGACAATTGCCCAGCTATATCCTCTCAAATGCTGGTTTGGGGGTCCTATTTTTAGTCTTAACAAAGTTCCTGATCATGATTTCCAGTGTCCAGCCAATTTGTTTCATTTCATGTGACAATGAAATAGGTCATTGTCATGAACCAGAACAACCTTAGGTGAACTACTGAAATCTTGTGCTGTAGAGCTAACTGCCCTCCTAAATCAGTTCAAGTGCAGCTATGACTCTGGTATCTGCCTAACAATGCAGAACTTCTGCCCATTTACCATTTACTGTCATATCTATAAAAACTAGGGTGTCCAACTTGGCCAGTTGCAGCCCCCATTGATGACTCCCACTAAAGCAGGAAAGTAAAGGCAAGAGTCAGCAATAATGTTCATCACAACACACGCTTACTGGCTGAGAAGACAAGGTAATAACATGTTGGAGGTTCCCCTGGAAAGTCCAAAGCTGTGTTGTCTCTGGCAAGATTTCCTCAGCTGCAGGAAGTAGATCACTCTGGAGAATGTGTGCCAGGATTTTCCCTCTTTTCCATAGAGGAAATTACCTTGACTGTTTCCACGTCGTGGTTTGTCTTCCTCCTTGATGCTGTTTACAGTTGTTAATTCCTGAACTCACCAGATGATTTGGGTGTTGGTAGAGGAGGTTGGGGGCGTTGAGAGTGTTTGTTTGTTTTTCCCTTATATCCATAGGATGAGCGCACATTGATGTAAGCAGTAAACTCGGCCAACAGGGGACTTTGCAAACTATTGAAATGAGCTGAGTGCAACAGTTTTTGATTTGAGAAAATATAGGTCGGGTTTTGCCATAATTCTCTCAATTTTGTGGTTCACTCCTGCAGTTCACTGTTGGTTAGGCATTGAGGTGGGTATGAGATTAACTTTTTGGACAGTTTGTAATGCTGATTGTAAATAAAGACTGCCTTAACCTGAATCTGTTTTTAAATTCTAGGCCAAACACAATACTGAGGCTTCGATTCATTCACTTTGCCACAGAGTGCAGCTGGGACCATTTATATGTATACGATGGGGACTCTGTCTATGCACCATTATTAGCAGTGTTCAGGTAAGGAGAGTTGCTCAGTTTGTTCAACTGGATTTAGTATGTTTAATTTAATTATTTATATATTTTTATGTTCAATATTTAGTAGGTCAGTGCTCAACTAAAGCTGCACCCTTGATGTCCTACATGATTACTGTGTCATATTTAGGTTTTATATGTTGAAAACATCGAGAATTGATTCATGGTGTGAAAAAGATAAAATGAAACCTCCCAAGTAAAATTGGAGCCAAAGGCAATTATTAAGCCTTAATTTGATATGGGCCTTGGATAACAGTTCACAATAGATTTGTTTTCGTTGTTGATGTCCTGTACGTTGCTGGTAAGTTCATGCTTTGTAACGATTCACAGTAGATTTCCATGTTGTGTGCTGGGGACCAGGTGAAGTGATTTACAAGAACAATAATTGAGACTTCTACTTTTATGTCTACATGTGTTAGTTCAGTAAGAGTTATCAGTTAATTTTAAATAATGTGAAATAAGTGACTAAATGAAGCGACTAAAAACGTTTTAAAGAAAAGACACTAATGCTCCTACAGGTATCTAAAAAGCAAACTTAGTTGAGACAAATGGCCCAACACAGGCAGAACCAGGAGTGAAAGAAGATGATGGTCTCGTGATGTTGAACCTGTAATCCAGAGACCCAGGTAGTGTGCTGGATACCTTGTTTCCAATCCTACCATGGCTGATCGTGTAATTTGAATTCAATAAAAACCTGGAATTAAAATGACTATGACAAGATTGTCAATTGTTGTGAAGACGCACCTGGTTCACTTGTAAAAGGCAAGAAACTGCTGCCATTAGGTGTGGCCTGCTTGTGTTAACAATGAGGTTGACTCTTAACTGCCCTCTGAAATGGCCGAGCAAGCCATTATGTTGCATCAGTCATTAGAAAGGGTAAAAAGAATGAAACAAGATGGACAACCTAGCATAGACTGGAAATAGCAATGGGTCTTGCAAAGTCCTCCTTGCTAACAAATAGGGGCTAGTGCCAAAATTGAGAGAGCTGTCTAGACTGGTCAAGCAACAGTGTGATACAGTCCTACTAATGGAAATATCCAGGCATCACCGCTGTCATCTCTGTCTTTCAGAATGTTTTCTGCCACTGACAGGAAAAACCCGCTAGAGATAGTAGCAGTTGCATCTGTTCATGAATCTCAGCAGGAGTGACCACTACCCAGTTTTGGTGGAGACGAATTCCCACCTTTTACATTGCAAATATTCTCCATGATGTTGTTTGGTACTATGATCATGCTAAATAGCATAGACTTGAAACGGATCCTGTAATTGGGCATCATGATGTGCGGTGGACCATGAGCAGCAGCCAAATTGTACTTGAATGCAATCTGCAACCATGTGATCCGGCTTCTTCCCCACTGACATTTCCATCAAGCCTGGGGATCTTGGATCAATGAAACGTGCAAGAGGAGCTGTCCATAGCAACATTTTGCATACCGAAAACTGAGTTGTCGACCTAGTGAAGCGGGATTACTTGCATATTAAACAGCATAAGCAGGAAGTGATAGAGCTAAGCAATTTGGCAAACCAGTATTACAATTAAACAATTCAATGGAGGACTTGCTCCACATGTCTCTCCTTTAATAATAGGGGAGCCCAGACTGCCAGTGAAAAAGTTGAGTGAGAGTACCTGTAACAAGCTTCAGCCAGAAATACTGAGTGGACGATCGATCTTGACTCCTCCTGAAGCCAGCCTTCAACGAATTCAGTTCAATTCATTTCAATTCACATGGTTGGAGCCACTGGATACTGCAAAGATGATCAACTTTGCCCACATTCTGGCAGTAGTATTGAAGACTTGTGGTCCAGGATTCTGTGCTTCTAACCAAGTCATTTCAGTGCAACAACAGCACTGGCATCCACTCGACATTGTGGAAAATTACTCAGAAGAGTCTTTTATGTACGTGCAGCAAAGCAAAGCAAAGCAAACCCAGGTAATTAATGCCACATGAGTTTAAACGAGCAACTCTTGGTTGGCAATAACATGCTGACTGATGCTTGACTTGGGTTCCTCTTGGGCCACTCACCTCCAGACTTCATTACAGCCTTGGTACAAACAGGGACGACCTGAGCTGAATTCCAGAGGTGTGTGGTGGTGTTCTTGACATCAAGGCCACATTTGACGGAGTGTGGTATCAGTGAGTTCCAGCAAGATTGGAGTCATTAGGAATTGGTTGGGGATTGGTATTGAGCCATGCCTGGTGTAGGAGAAGATGGTTATTAATGTTGGAGGTCAGTCATCTTGGTTCCAGGGCATCTTGGCAGGAGTTCCTCAGTGTAGAGTCCTTCGCCCAAACATCTTCAGCTGCTTCTTCATTGGTCTAAATTCCAACATAAGGTCAGAAGTGGGGGATATTTGCCAGTGATTGTGCAATGTTCAGCACAACCTGTGGTGACTCATCCTGAAGCAGTTCACGTCCAAGACCTGTAAGAACTGGACATAATCCAGGCTTGGACATGAGATGATAAGCAGCACTAATATTTGCATCTCACGAGTGCCATTCGATGACTGTCTCCAACAGAATCTAACTGTTGCCCCTTGACATTCAATCGTATTATCATCACTGAATCCCCTGTTATCAACGTCCTGGATCTGCATTTTACCTCCAGAAACTGAACTGAACTAAACTAACTGCAGAAATACCGATTGTGGAGGTTCTGGTGTTGGATGAGGTCAGAGGTCATATTACACCAGGTTATAGTCCAGGTTTATTTGAAATCACAAGCTTTCCTAATTAGGTCACCTAATGAAGGAGCAGTGCTCCGAAAGCTTGTGATTTCAAATAAACCTATTGCATTATAATCTAGTGTCGTGTGACTTTTGACCTTGTATAAATACGGAGGCTACAAAAGCAGGTTAGAAACTTTGAATCCTGCAGTGAGTCACGCACCTCTTGACTCCCTGCCCATCTACTATGGGCAGCGCGCAGGTCAGGAAACTGATGGAACACTTCACTTGTTGGAGCCGCATTCATCCAGGCAAGACTTGATAAGCCTAACACCATCCAGGCAAGCCAGCCTCTTGATTGGCACCACCCACACTTGGTCGCAGTGGTGTGGACCATGTAGTTCACCAAGGTTCCTTAGATTGCATCTTCCAAACCTACAAAGGGCAATGACGTTGTCTACATGGACTTCAGTAAAGCGTTTGTCAAGGTTCCGCATGGTAGACTGGTTAGTAAGGTTAGATCACATGGGATTCGGGAGACGAGTCAATTGGATACACACTTGGCTTGAAGGTAGGATAGCAGGTTGCTTTTCGAACTGTATGCTTGTGACCAGTGGTGTGCCATAAGGATTGGTGCTGGGTCCACTGCTTTTGGTCATTTTGTATAAATGATTTGAAAGTGGGTATAGGAGGTATAGTTAGTAAGTTTACAGATGACATCAACTTACGTGGTGTCATGCACGGTGAAGGTGGTTATCTCAGTACAATGGAACTTTGATCAAATGGGCCAATGGATTGAGCAGTGGCAGATGGAGTTTAATTTGGATAAATGGGGGGTGTTGCATTTTGGTAAGGCACACCAGGGCGGGACCTGTACGTGTAATGATAGGGCATGTTGCGGAACAAACAGACCTTTGGGTGCAGGTGCATATTTCTTTGGAAGTGGCATCGCAGGTAGACAAGGTGGTAAAAGAGGTATTTGGCACGCTTGTCTTCATTAGTCAAAACATTGAGTATAGGAGTTGCGTGGCATGTTGCAGCTGTACAGGACATTGGTGAGGATGCTTTTGGAATACTGCATATAATTCTGGTCATGGTTATACAGGAAAGATGCTGTTAAGCTTGAGAGAGTGCAGAAAAGATTTAGAAGGATATTGCCAGGGTTGGAGGTTTTGAGCAATAGGGAGAGGCTGAATAGGCTGGGGCTATTTTCTCTGGAGCATTAGAGGCTGAGGGGTGACCTTACAGAGATTTGTAAAATCACAAGGGGAATAGATAGGGTGAATAGCCAAGATTTTTGCCTAGGATGGGGAGTCCAAAACTAGAGCGCCTCGGTTTAACGTGAGAGAGGAAAGTTTTAAAAGGAACTTCACGGGTGGTGTGTGTATGGAATAAGCTGCCAGAGGAAGTGGTGGAGATGGGTACAATTACAACGTTTAAAAGGCATCTGGATGAGTATGTGAATAGGAGAGGTTTAGAGGGATATGGGCCAAATACTGGCAAATGGGACTAGGTCAGATTGGAATGTCTGGTTGGCATGGACAAGTTGGATTGAACGGTCTGTTTCTGTGCTGTCTGACTATGACAGCAAATCAAGGGATATTCAGAGTTTGATAAAGGAAAAAAGGAAACGTATGTCACGTACTGCGCATTAAAAAGAGCAAAGGCCACTCAAACATATCGTGTGTGTAGGAGGTTGTTTAATGAGCAAATTAAGAAGACCGAGGAGCCACAAAATATCTTTGGCGATGCGAACACTGAAAACCCTAAGGCTTTTTAGAAGAAGATTAAGAGTGAGAGGAATTCCGGGGAAAGAATGGGACATATTAGAGACCGAAGGGGCAGCCTGTGCTTGAACCTGTGGATGTTGGTGATGTCTTAAGTTAATGCTTCTCTGCGAATACAGATGAGAAAGACATTGTAATTGGGGAGATCAGTTAGGATGATGCGTTTCTGGAACAAGTTAAGATTAATAACAAGGAAGTATGAGATGTTTTAGCAGGCATACAGGTGCATAAATCCCCAAGCCTGATGAAATGTACCTCCTACGCTGCTATGGGAGACAAGGGAGTGGATTTCTGGGCCCTGTAGGATATATTTAATACTTCGCGGCCCACAGGCAGAGTGTTGGATAGTTAATGTAGTTCCTGTTTCAAGAAGGGCAGCAGCGATCGGTTAAATGATTACAGACCAGTTAATCTGAAGTCAGTGACAGGGCAATTACTGAAAAACTTCTGAATGACCACAGGATTAATTAATGTTTGGAAAGGATTGATTAGGAGTAGTCAGCTTGGATTTGTTAGAGGGAGATCCTGTCTGA